TGGGCCATTGCGCTGTGAATCGGAAGTTCACAGCGCAATCGATCCTCTTGAATGAATTTCCTGTCAAACACACACACAGACACACCAACAGACACACCAACAGACACACTTAGCCGTTTCTATATAGTAGGATAGCATGGCATTTCTAAGCAAAGCAGTACTAACAATTAAGCTGACAACAAAGTTAGGAGTCCCCATGTCCGTCTTTCTTGAAACCTTGGCATTCTTCATAAGTGTTCTTGTTATTGTTGTGCCATACAGGTTTTTTATGATGGAATTTTTATTATGCCTGACGTTTCGACAATTTCGTCGTTCTCAAAGGCCTGAAAGCATATCGAAACGTCTTGCAATGTTGCCATCCCGCTCACAGCTAACCTTCTACTGAACGTTACAATCCCCCATGCGACTACAATAGAGCAGGATTACGAACAACGGTTAACTCACGTTAATTCCACCAGGAAGGGCCGCTCAGCTTCGCGAAATAATGGAGAAAGTGAGACTGACCGGTTGTATACTGCTTGTTAAATGCGTACGTGCAGTACGTTGCGTTTCTCCAATCAGAGCTCACAAAGTGGAATGTATGGCAAGAAATCATCAGTTATGGAAATGCACTCATTTCCTGTTATTCATACTCGGATTACGGCGCTTTTATCCAAAAGGCCTCGAGGGTTTTCCTAGCACCGATATCACTTTCGTACGCCAGTATCGTGCATTTAACGTCAAAGTCACAACCAGAATGACTTTCCCTTCTATATGTTTTCCAAGTGGTGCGACCAAACTTTCCTTCGTTTACTAGCCAGATGTTCTTTTATACGTACACCCAACTGTCTCCCAGTTTCTCCGATGTACAAGGCGTTACATGTTGAACACTGGAGCTGGTAAACCACAGATCTTTGCGCGCAGTCTCCTACCTTTCCATACGGGCAGATCACGCAGTTATCCATGATACAATTCCGGTCGTAGAGACGATTTCTGACCAATTGGTGTTTAATGTTGTCTCTTGGTGTACTAATCAAGATAACATCATTGGCCAGGTCGGCTCTTCTCAGGCACTCTTGTATAACTGCACTAAAGTGATCCGATACAAAAGGAAGTTGTAAGATACAACTTATTTTGAGCTCCGTATGGAAAAAGCCTCGGTCTGCTACGTTCCTTCCGCTGCCGTGCTGTGTAACCATTAAGATTAGCAATTTGATGAGCTAATCTTCTGGACTCTTCTCGCTCCTCGTCACCGGTGCACACCTCCACAGCTGTTTTGTACATGTTACGCAATACTGCTCGTTTAACAGCTCTGGGGTGTGCCGACAGTGCGTGAATGATGATATTTTTGGAGCTTTCTTTTCTATACCATTTCACATTGTAAACGCCATTGGTTACCTTGATCTGAGTGTTCAGGTAAGGTAACCAACCATCGCGCGGGACTTCTCGAGTGAGCCTGATGTACTGCGACTGACTGTTAAGAATATTGAATAGTTCATCCATTTCGGATTGACAATGTAATTCCCCGCCTCTGCTGGGGTGTTCCCCAATTAACCTTTGCTACAGCTATGAAGTCGGTCAAGCCTGATGTGAGCAATGGCAGAAATTCACAAAAAAATTAACAACTTTCTTCAAAACTTAAAACGCATGTCCGAATCACGGCAACCGAGACCACACGATTCGAAAATGATGCGACTCTAGATACTGAAGCTCAGCTGTGAATTACCATATCCACTAGGCAGCGGCGATCAGAATATTCCGAAGATTGTCTGTGCTTCTTGCTCAGCCATCATCGTGGGAACAAACATCACGACTACCGCAAGCGTTTCCAAACCAAACTCACTGCCTTTTCGGCTCCTGGCCGCTAGGCTTTTTGAGCTCAAACAACCGCCCTTCAAATATTCGTTGGTAAGAAGTCACTGGTACTGGTGGTGCATATATTGATCATTGATCACGCCTGTGCATGAAATAAACTAGGTTCAAAAAAACTCCAAAATACGCCAACTTCTGGGACAACCTAATAACTCTCCAAATCTGTGACAAAATTCGCCTTCTAGATGGGAAACAACACCACCGAAAAAAGGAGAGGTAGGCATGAAGAGCTTTTTGGCCCTGGATTTGTCTTCGCACATGCCTTACCCAAGTTGATGATACTCTTACAAAAAATGGTTTTTCGCTTAGTTAAGCAGCACGTGCAGTCGCATACTCTACTCGTAGATCAATTTTTCTATACTAGTCCTTTGTAGACTTTTCAAATATTCATAGCCAAACCATATGATTCTCGTTCTAGTTCCATGTTCTCAACAAGAAGAACCAAAAAAATTCTGGCGATGTTTTGGATGCTTTCCTTTCTTCACTGCGTCGTCTACAGTTTCGGTACAGTTTGCATGTGTTAGTTTTTACTTTAGTTAGATAGCATAGACCACCTTTTCGTGAGCTAAGCTAACCTTATTATGTTGGTCGGAGATCCGCATCAGATATTTTCCAGACAACCATGTCTCAATGACAGAAATCAAGTGTTTACTACAGGTTTAGAGGAATCACTAAAAAGACGTTTCCAGCACGCTTAGACTCGGAGCGGTACACCACTACTTACTCCCATTACACTGCAGCTACTTAGCTGGTCACTGCGTCACTTGCACCCAATTCGCAGACACATACAGGGGGGGCCAAAAAAAAGACATTTTGCCTATGTCGGACTTCGGCTCTTTTTTCTTCGCAGAGATTGCCGTCGTTGACGGGAGTTCCTCAGCAGAGTATTCCCTAAGTGTCCTCTATAAGTGTACGCAGGCCCTCCTTCACTGCCCTCACCGTCTTCAGAATATGACGTCATCTGTCACCGTCGTCAGGCTCAAGGAGGTCTACCGTAAGAGCTTCAGCCTGAAGCTCTTACGCAATTTCGTGAATCGATTTAATGTTGGATAGTTTTCTAGAGGCATTAGCTACCACTGTGCAAATCCCCTCGGAACTAGCTTTCCAGTAAGGGTCGTTATGGTACACGATCCTTCGAAGACCCCATTGAGATCGACCAGTGCACCATGTTTCCAGGGCTAATTCTTCTGATGCCGTCCACGTACGTGGCCACTATGAAGATTTTCTTATAGAATGGAATGCACTCTTTAATAATAAGTTGGAACCGTTCGGTCTGAGTTGAGTAAAATGTGCTTAAATCCATCTGGAAGTGGAGGCAAAATGTCTTTTTTTTTTGCCCCCCCCCCTGTACATCTCCCTTCTCCCACTGTTCTAGGGTCATGGTTACAAGTATTTGTGCTGGGTAGCACTTAGTAATGCAAGCTTAAATCATTTAGGAGAACTTTGTGTTTTCTGAAGCAAGACAACCTAGTCGGACATGGATGCGCTACGTTATTTCCCTCTAGACGAGTTATCTACGGACCTACACTCACTTTTTGAACGTTTAGTGCTCCCGTGGCTTTCGCCAGGATTCCTTGTTGCCCTTCTGAAAGTGGTAGTTAGACCTGGATGTGACATACTAACTTTACACATGCTACGCTGATCGTTAGCCCGAAGTTTTCGAACTAACAGATTCTCGTCCATACGGGAGGTTCATGCACATACAGTACCCGTATTCCGTACGAGTACACGATACAGAATACAAATATAGCGGGTATATGTGCGAGCATAAGAAAATTCCGAGAAATGAAAAATTATTAGGTATGTTATATCACACCCTAAATTATTCTGACTCCTCTTTTTTCAGAACCGCTCAGCAAAAAAAGCCGCGGTTCAGAGTCTCATGCACTGGTCTCCACAACTTTCCAAAATTGCTTTGAAAAAGCGCAGCGATTCGAGTCTGACCTGCATTAATTGCCTTTTTTGTTCCGAATTCTCGTAGAGCCCCTTCGCTTTCATGCAAAAGAACGTGCGGTGTTGCATACTACAAAAGTCTTTCCAATTCTCCAACTTCTCTCTTCTTGTAACCTCGGCATGTCAGTTGTAAGTTTAACAAATTTTTTGTGCCTTACGAGGTTGTTCGGTGGAACCTTTTATTAATGGCCTAACGTTTCGACTGAATCGTCGTCTTCAGAGGCCGTCGGTTCCACCCTTCGAGCGGAAAAGTCCGCTGCCACACAGAGCGCTGATCAGTTAGAACTAATTAGTTGATTAATTAATTAACTTAGCTAGTTAACTCATTACCAGTTCTAACTGACAGCGCTCTGTGTGGCAGCGGACTTTTCCGCTCGAAGGGTGGAACCGACGGCCTCTGAAGACGACGATTCAGTCGAAACGTTAGGCCATTAATAAAAAGGTTCCACCGAACAACCTCGTAAGGCACAAGAAAATTTGTCAAAGTCTCTTCTAAATCAATTTAGTGGTAAGAATTTGCAAAGACTCAAAGATATAACATATCGATATTCGACTTGAGCGGCTCAGGTATACCAAATAGCTAATGTTCGATCGAGTGATATAAACCGTAAAATGGCTTCCATGACTAAAAACCCCGAATGTAATAGAAGTGAATTTTTCGTAAATGTGACAAATCAAATTATAGCTGCAACAAAGAACAAACTACAACATAGAGTGGAGTAGGGAAAAGCCCGGGTCCTCCTAAATTAAATTTGTGTGCAGAGGGAATCTCGGCGGAGTACAGTGCTCCAGAACCGCACACAATGCCATCGTCCCTTTTAATTCCGTTTTTCGCTCACATCTCTTCTTTTACGGGGGCAGACCAATAACCTGCTCAATACAGAAAAAAAATTCAAGTAAGAAAACCAGTTAGCGAACTGTTGGTTGCAACTGTATCTCTCCTTACAACATATGACATATATTCCAGATGAATGCAGTTTCACTTTCGACCCCAAATCTTTTCTTTGGAAATTTGCTGATGCAGAGCTTGGTCATATCGTTGCTTATTACACGGCTTTTATGTATGCTACAATACTATGTGCTGTAGTCATCATTATTGATACTATTGCTTTCTTTGCAATTGTCAAGACACTGAAGGTAATATTTATAATCGTGGAACGATCAAAAACTTGAAAAGTATTGTTGAGTGATTTTAGAACTCATCAAAATCATCTCTTGGAACACCAGAGGCTACGACGCTAAAAAGAAACATCCGCCTTTACTTCCAGGTGATTTCAGAAGTTTGTTACCAGCCTTCAGAGCTATTCTAAATTTGCATTACTGCTATTTCATTAGTTATTTGTATACTTGTATAAATATATATTACTCATTAGCAACAATAGAGGCAATTTGAAGCGAGAGATTACGATAAAGTGTGTGCGCAAGCATGGAAGTACCACACACCAGTGGAATCGGTACTTAAATCGGATCTTTGCTGCAATGATAGCAGCAGTCAGGTTTTATCATTTATTTATTGGTCAATCACAGAATAAGGAATGGCACAGTTGCAACTCATGTAATTTACAACCGATTGACTTCTCTTAATAGCTAGGGTAGTACAACTGAGATAAAACCCCATAAGATCCCAAAAGAAAGTGTGTTTTGAGAAAATTAGAGAACAGCGCGTTCTACATGGTTATAGTACTTTATACTGAACTGATAAACCGTTAAGAAAACTTCCGAATGTGTACATTAGAACCACGAGCCACCGAGCCCTGAAAATAACCAACTGCCGAGGCCGCAGCACAACAGGGGCGGGTGCCATATGCACCTCTTTGATCTAAACACGAACCCCAGGAGCTGGCTCGGGGGTGCTTACGAAGGCTGTCTACTGGTGCGCAAAGCGTGGTTGACGTTGGATTAGCTTAGCACTGTGATGACGGCCTATAAGCAATAAAACCAGTAGATAACACACTGACTATGGGATAACGTAGCTATATATGGCTTGCGACTCAGGGACGCGCTTGGCTGAAAGCATCACCAGATCTCTTGGAGTTTCATGGGGTTTCATCATTACCATATAATAATATCGTTCGTTCCTAATACATTCCTCATAGTA